CTTTCTTTCTTTCTTTCTTTCTTTCTTTCTTTCTTTCTTTTTTGACACAGGATCTCACTGTGTTACTCAAGCTGGAGTGCAGTGGTGCAATCTTGGCTCACTGCAGCCTTGACCTCCCAGGCTCAAGAAATCCTCCCACCTCAACCTCAACCTCCTGAGTAACTGGGACTACAGGTACATACCACTACACTTGATTAATTTTTTTTTGTTTTTTTGTAGGGACAAGGTTTCACGATGTTGCCTAGGCTGGTCTCGAACTCCTGAGCCCAAGTGATCCTCCTACCTTGAGCTCCCAAAGTGCTGGGATTACAAGCACAATAAGCCACTGTGGCTGGCCACTCTCTTGTAATTTCCTTTCAACCTTTAAGTGTATTTTTCTCATGGGAGTATGGGAAGAACAGTATGGTGATCTGGGCACTCTTTTTGTTTGGAAACATCTGGAATTATCCAAAGACATGAAAGGTAAGGCACTGGTTCCAAGCTTTCTAGGTACAGACTGGAAACTAGTCAAAGCGTTAAGGCATACGGGACTTAATGACCCTACTATTAATGCTTTTGCTTTTGGAGCCATTCCCAATCCTGCATACATTTGTTAGTGACAAGTCTGGTGGGTTGCCCAGGATATGTCTATTTTGAGAGATTCTGCAGTGGGCCTGGGACAGAGAGGGAAGCACTGAGCCTTGGGAGGGTGAACCAGAGGGTGCAGTCTGCTCTCCTGTCCTTTCAGGGAACTTTCAAGTTCTATCTGTTGCATCCCTCCCATTTAGAATCTAATGTTCCAGAATTCATATTTATTTAAGTACTTACCATTTGAGTTCTCATGTAGTATGGCAGTTTTATGTCTCCTGTAAAGCATTCAAAAATTTAAAGACCACTAAATCAAACTTTAAAACTTCTGTGTATCACCGGATATGGTGGCTCACGCCTGTAATCACTTGAGGTAGATCACCTGAGGTCAGGAGTTCAAGACCAGCCTGGCCAACATGGTGAAACCCTGTCTCTACTAAAAATACAAAAAATTAGCTGGACGTGGTGGCACATGCCTGTAATCCCAGCTACTCAGAAGGCTGAGGCAGGAGAAATGCTTGAACCTGGGAGGCGGAGGTTGCAGTGAGCCAAGATTGCACCACTGTACTCCAATCTGGGCAACAGAGTGAGGTTGTCTCAAAAAATAATAAATAAATAAATAAAACCACTGTGTATCAAAGAATATAATTTATAAAGTGAAAAGGCAACATACAGTATAGGAGAAAATATTTACAAATCATATATCTGATAAGGGGTTTATGTGCAGAATGTATAAAGAATACCAAAATGGCGGTGTTCGGGTATGAGGCGGGGGCTAAGCTGAGGGATTCAGGTGTGGTGCGGGTGGGAATTGAGGAAGCGCCCAAGGATGTCAAGATGACAGCATCTATGCATGGTCAACCTAGTCCTTCTCTAGAAGATGCAAAACTCAGAAGACCAGTGATCATATAAATCATAGAAAAAAATTTTGAGTACCTTAGAAAAGAAATGACACCAAATATATATCAAACGGCATCATTTGGGACAACAACTGGTTTCTCTGGAATATTCTCAAACTTCCTGTTCAGACGCTGCTTCAAGATAATATAAGCAAGGAAAACTGTGTTTTCAGAAGCTCACTGATTGGCATAGTTTGTGGTGGTTTCTACCCCAGTTCTTTGGCGTTTACTAAAAATGGACATCTGGCAACCAAGTATCATACCGTTCCACTGCCACCAAAAGGAAGGGTTTTACTCCATTGGATGATGCTTTGTCAAACGCAAATGAAATTAATGGCGATTCCTCTAGTCTTTCAGATCATGTTTGGAATATTAAATGGTCTACACCATTATGTAGTATTTGAACGGACACTTGGGAAAACTATACATGAAGAGGAACCAAAAAAATGAATGGTTGCTAACTTAGCAGAATGAAGTTTTTATAAAGAGGACTCAGGCATTGCTGAAAGAGTTAAAAGTAACTGTGAACAGATAATTTGTTTCTCTGCCTTTTGCCTGGTATATAGCAAATACTCAAAAAATATTCAATAATTCAATCAATAAACATAAGTTTCATCTTACATATAAGATATAGGTTTTATCTCCTGATAGTGTGTCCATTTTGCTTGGTACATAACAGATAATAAATATTCAGTATCAATAAATGTAATAATAATTTAAAAAAAGAATTACAACTCAACAACAAATAACATTAAAAATAGCAAAGGACTTGAATAGACATTTCATCAAAGATGATATACAAATGGCCCAGAAGCATATGTAAAGATGCTCACCATCACTGATCATTAAAGACATGCAAGCCAAAATTCTGTTGGGATAACACTTCATACCTATTAGGATAGCTACTATAAGAAAAAGAGAAAATAACAAGTGTTGGTGAGGACGTGAACATATTATAACCCCGTGCACCTTTTTGGGGATTGTAAATGGTGCCACTGCTTTGGAAAGCAACATGGAAATTCCTCAAATAATTAAAACTGCCATATGATCCAACAATCCCACTTCTGGGTGTATACCCAAAATAATTGAAAGCGGGGTATTGAAGGGATGTTTACACACCCATGTTATAGCAGCACTATTCAGAACAGCTAAGAGATAGAAGCAACCCAAATGTCTATCAACAGATGAATGGATAAGCAAAATGTGACACACTTTTCCCTCAGTATCTATAGGGGATTAATTCCAGGATACTCTGCAGATACCAAAATCCACAAATGCTCCAGTCCCTTATATAGTGTGGCATAGTATTTGCATATAATCTAGGCACATTTTCCCATATACTATAACAGCAGTCCCTAACTGTTTGGCACCAGGGACCGGTTTTGTGGAAGACAATTTTTCCACAGACAGGGTCAGGGGGATGGTTTTCAGATGAAACTGTTCCACCTTAGATCATCAGGAATTAGTCTGATTCTCATAAGGAGTGTGCAGCCTAGATCCCTTGCATGTGCAGTTCAGAATAGGGTTCATGTTCCTATGAGAATCTAATGCCACTGCTGATGTGACAGTGGCATTACCGCTCAGGCGGTAATACTTGCTGGCTTCTTTGTTCATCTCCTGCTCTGCGGCCCAGTTCCTAGCAGGTTAAGAACTGGTACCCATCCACGGCCTGGGGCTTGGAACCACTGCTTTGAATCCTAGGTTACTTATAATACCTAGATTCCTAGGTTACTTATAATACCTAGTACAGTGCCTACATATAACTTTATTGGTGTGGATTTGACTTAGTATTTGACTCAGGGAAAATTCAAGTTTTGCTTTTTGGAACTTTGTGAAATTTAACGTATTTTTGAATATTTTAAATCTGAGTTTGGTTAAATCCACAGACACAGAACCCATGGATATGGAAGGCCCATAATATATACACAATGGAATATTATACAGACTTAAAAAGGAAGGTAATCCTGTCTCATGCTCCAACATGGATGAATCTTGAGTGCTAAGTGAAAGAAGCCAGTCACAAAATGACTGTGTGATTTCACTTACATGAGTAATGTAAAGTAGAAAAATTCATAGAAACAGAAAATAGAATGGTATTTACTAGGGTGTGGAGGGAAGGGGAAAAATGGAGAGTTGTTTAATGGCTATAGAGATTCCATTTTGCATGATGCAAAAGTTCTGGGGATCTGTTTCACAACATTGTGAATATATTTAATGGTACTAAAATATATGCTTAAAAATGACCAAGTTGGTAAATTTTGTTGTGTGTTTTAATATAATTTTTTTTTTTTGAAACAGGGTCTCACTGTGTTGCCCAGGCTGGAGGACAGTGGCACCATCTTGGCTGACTGCAACCTCAGCCTCTTGGGCTCAGGCGACCCTCCCACTTCAGCCTCCCAAGTAGCTGGGACTACAGGCATGCACTACCACACCCAGCTAATTTTTATATTTTTTTGTAGAGATGAGGTTTTGCTATGTTGCTCAGGCTGGTCTTGAATTCTTAGGCTCAAGCAATCCTCCTGCCTCAGCTGGGATTACAGGCATGAGCTACTGCGTTTTTAACTAATTAAAAATAGTAAAATTTTCTCTTATAGCACAGTGGTCATGCCTGTAATCCTAACACTTTCGGAGGCTGAAGTGGGAGGATCACTTGAGCCCAGGAGTTTGAGACCAGCTTGGGCAACATAAGGAGACCCTCGTCTCTACAAAAAATGCAAAAATTAGCCAGGCATGGTGGCATGTGCCTGTAGTCTCAGCTACTCAGGAGGCTGAGGAGGGAG